TTGTTAGTCAGTGGCCCTCTTTTACATGTGACTAAAGAGCTAATCAAGCCTATTGTTAGGCGATGGCCCTCTTTTGCATGTGACTAAATAGAGCTAATCAAGCCTATTGTTAGGCGATGGCCCTCTTTTGCATGTAACTAAATAGAGCTGATCAAGCCTATTGTTAGGCAATGGCCCTCTTTTGTATGTGACTAAATAGAGCTAATCAATCCTTTTATTAGGCGATGGCTCTCTTTTGCATGTGACTAACCTGTTTGTCCACCATGTGGAGGCAGTGCTTATAAGGCTGAGTTCACCTGAAACTCATCAGACTGAAGAAGTCCCTTGGAGAAGAGACAAAACGTTTCACTAAAGAAGAACCCATCCAGAGGACCTACTTGTTTTTTCTTTATATATGTATGATTTTATCTTTTTTATAATTTATAAGCACTTTGAGCTTGTCCTGTTTTGCAAGTACTCTGATCCACTTCACTTCAGATTGGGTGGTTGACCAGAGGCCTTCTTCTCTGTTTGTAGGACTACAGTTTGTTCCTGGTTCTGTTGGTATTAACAAGGTGGCCTTCATACATTTTTCTCACATCAACTGAAGAGCTCTTGCACAATATGTTACCAATACACAAGAACAGAGAAACAATTAGTCATATGAACATGTTTTCTTTAGGTTTGCTGGGTCAGATTACTTGTAAAGGCCCCATCTTGGGTCAGAACTGTAGTTTTGGACACAATCACTTTTTGTTATAAACGGTGAGCTTCTGGTACAGTCGTTTAGTTTTACATGGAAAAAGTCAAGTTTTTTATTATTAAAACAGTCAGTTCTCTTCTTGACAGCATCCTTCTTTTTTCTTTAGTTAATCCTCCTTCAGTGACCATCAGCCTCACTAGCTGCGTTTCCACTGCAAATGTGCGCAAAACTTTGTCAATATTCTGTTAGTGTCAGAAAAACAGTTTCACAACTGCGGTGTTTCCATTAAGTAAGAAATACTATTAAAGTCACGCGTGAATATGTTTGTTCTCGCGATAAATCGTTACAAACATGGCGGGGATGGATGTAAACACATAGCACGTTGCTACCACAACACTAGCGCTCATCATCAGAGGAGACGTCGGCGTCTTTTATCGAGGCTTTCCAGWGACAAGTCCCTACTTGGGAGCGGCTACGTATGCTGTGTTTTTGGGAAATTGTAGTCGGTGAGTTTACTATTTTATACAACTTCTGTGATATTACTACTATTTCTACTTCCTGTTATCTTCTTCGTCATCGTCTTTTTCGCCAGTAGAAACAGCCGGTTGTTGATCATGTGACTCCTGTGATGTGAAAAAAGTGTTTCCATTGCAGTTCTGCGAAAAACACCAATTTCAATACGGCCGAAATACCACCTCATCCTAGAGCAAAAAAGTTTTGTCGAAAAATGTAATTTCTTTCAAATTTGACGTGTTTCCATTGAGCAAATTTAATTTCAAAATTCTAATTTGCGCATTTTCGTGGTCAATGGAAACAGCTACAGAGGCTGCGGTTCTCCTCAACTTCTTTTTCCTCTTTCAGCCCTTGGTATTTCTCATGTTGCCTCTTCTTGATGTTACAGTTTGGGATTGCTTTGTCTGTAATGTCTGATAAACTTGCAGGTCGGTTAAGTGATATTGATTAAAACCCGGTCCAGACCTCAGTGGTGCCAGTAATCATTGTACCATTCGGTCCTGTTCTCCAACAGAGTTCAGGAACCACCACAGAGATCTGTTTTCTGTAGAGTGCAGTACTAACAACAGATAAGATACTGAGCAGAACCTTCAAGTCGAGAACCAGAATCACCCAAAGAATTATATCTGAACACAAGATGAAGATGACTTTAAACATTACTGAAGTTTATCAGTTAAATAAATTAATAATACAGGAAATAACCTTTTACCCACAGCAGAGTGAAAATCACAAGACACCCTGTGGAAACACTTGTTCTTCTTGTTTAGTGAAATAATCTGAGGTGTTGTGTTACATTACAGAGTCTCTATCCAGTGTCCTCTGGAACCTCCATAGATACTACAGTCAGTTCTCTGAAAGCATCCAGGCCAGAATCACTCAGCTCAGACAACCTGTTGAGAAAGAACTGAAGGTCTGAACACGAGATTTCGCCAATATTTCAAACTTCATTTACTGTCTGCCCTCTGACAAAATCTACGCTGATRTACGTTTTTATTTTCAGGACTTTGTCAAGATCTCCAAGTGGAACGATGTCAGTTTCTGGTCCATCAAGCAGTCAGTGGAAAAGACCCACCGGTACTTGATCTGAGCAGGATGTGAACATTCTCCTGCCAGTTCTGCCTCCTAATTCTTTCTACTTGGGCGTTTCTTTTTTCAGCACCCTCTTTAAGTTTGTGAAGAAGTTCGAGGCGGCTCTGAACAGTCCAAGTCTTCCTGCTCTGGTGGAACAAGGAGGTGGTGTAGGAGTGGATCATGAAGACACTGACTTGAAGGAAAGTCCCCTCCAACAGCTTCATGGAGTCCTGAAGAACACCCTGCCTGGAGCCGGCAGAGACCTGCACATCCAGGTCTCAGAAAGTTCATGTGTATGCACCGCAGTGGTCCCGCTCTTCCTAACAGAACCTGTTTCACGTGTTTGTTTCAGAATGTCGGTCCTGATGAAGGAGTTGAAGCATCGTCCTTACAGGCACGTCTGCCTGCTCTTTCTCAGAGGATGAAGAAGATCTGTAGCCAGGTGCAGAGGCAAAACCCAGTGCCTGATCTGGCTGAAGATCTGGACTACTTCACAGGTAAAGCTTCCTCTTAAGCCAATTAAAAATTACAGTCATGTTGTTCACAAAATGTACTCTTTTGGTTGATTTAAGGAGGTCTATGACTGATCTGTAACCCACATAGGAGCTCATCAAAGCAGCCAAGGCCTGCAGAGATGTGTGGTTGGGTTACGCCCTGAACCTGGCAAATCAAAACCAGTGGAGCTGCACAGACACCCAGTTAATGCTCATCAAGTCTCACACAGGGTTCCTGCAGATCCTTAAAAAGTTTTTAAAAGCATTGAATTCATCAATCCAAAAATAAGGCCTTAATTAGCCTTAAAGGTCTTAAATCAGTCTTTCAAAAGTCTTAAAAATGTGAACACATTGTAAATAGGATGATTGTAATTCATCTCAAATATTAAAATAATTAGTTGCATTTATTTTTTTAATATTCAAATGCAGACATACCCCTTTGACATCACTTCCTGTTATTTCACATGCAAATATCTCAACAACTGTCCATCTGAGTGATGTCAAATTCGTTTTGTAATATGTTTATAATGTCTTTACAAAAATGCATTCACTTTTCTTACAAAAAAAATTGATGTAACGGGCACTTTAAGGTTTCATCTACAGCAAATTGGGGTTAAGACCCCACTGTGAGTCCTAAAACTCCAAATTTTGGGTCATTGGAGGATTTCCAGAAATTAAATGAAGTTCAAAACTGAGTGCCAAGAACGTTTCTGCTRTAGTTAGAAATGGATAAAAACAATTGGTCTGTTAGCAATGTTTGAATACTTCAACAAAAAATAYTTTGGTTTATGAGTTTCTGCCAGTTTTTATTTTTTTGTTATTTGTTTGTTATGAAATTGGTCTTAAATTTAATTTCACTTGGCATTAAAAAGTCTTAAAAGGTCTTAAATTGGACTTACCTTAAACTGTAGGAACCCTGTCACAGGCTCTGAGGATCAGGCCCACATTCTGCTGACTGCCATCCTTCACAATGTGAACTTACAGTTTGTTTTCCTATCTCTGTTATCAGATAAAGTCATCAACAACCTCCAGGAGCTGCAGAGCCTCGCTGCTGACCCAACAGCTGATAAAGACAAGCAGAAATCTGAATTCAAGCACATCCAGCAGCAGAAGCAGAGAGCTCTGTCTGACCTGTTCAAGAAGCTTTCTGAAATGGGTCAGTTCCTTTCACCTTTTCTTCTTCATCTGTATTAGTTATTACGAATGTGTGTTTTAATCATCTGATTTCTGTTTTAAGGTTTGTCGTATCGTAAGGGCCTGACGTGGAACAGGACGGCAGATTCTGAGACCCCCCTGTGTTTGCAGCCCCTGGAGATGACCACGGCCCTGTCTGCTGTGAAGAACCAGGAGCTGGCTGAGAGCAGGTAAACACACAGACTCACAAAGAGCTGACTCACCTTCAGTCTGTTGAGTAAAAGAATGATCACATTTGTACCAACAAGTTCACATTAAAGATAAAAAAACTGCTCTATACCTGTTACAGCTTTGGGAAATTGAGATAGAAAAACTCAGAGTATTTACAGTGATTTTCTGCTTTTAAAGCAGCATTTAGCCTCACTTTGTATTTCTTTTCTTTGGCTGAATCTCCAGTCTTGGTAAATCCTGTTTAGATATATTGTTGTTGTTTTGTGTTAAGTAGCTGCATTTTGTGTCCATGCTTGTCGTTGTAGGTTGTTTCCAGAGTTAAAGACGGCGTGGCATGGATGTCAGAAATATTTCTACCGTTCGTGGGCCAGGAGGAGCGCCCTGCAGACAGCTCTCCAACACGCAGCTAAGGTCACAAATTGATCATTTGTACCCCAGAGGCATAATGTGTAAAAAGTCAAACTAAGTTCTCTCCTAACGTTAGTAGTGCTGTTTGCTGTAAATGTTTTAACTGCTGCTACTCAAACTGAAGTCTGGCTTCTTCCTGTACAGTGGTTTGCAAAAGTATTCATACCCCTTGAACTTTTCCATATTTTGTCACATTACAACCACAAACATAAATATATTTCACTGGAATT